GCCTGCACTCGTGGTGACCATTTGACCATTCCTCGGACAACATTGCTGTTGACAAAAAAGAAAAAAGACGTTCTGTTCAGCAGCAGCATTCCCCAAAGAGAGATGGTACTTGCCTCGTCTTTCCCTGTTTGCCTTTGAAGCAACCTTGCCTCTCACTTGGAGTCTTGGGCCAGGTTAGAGCCCCTTTCTAGGTCCTTGGCTTTATTAGAAATAAAGGAGCCTCCTGGGCTTTCCTGGTGGTTCAGATGGTAAAGAATCTGCCTGCAACGAGGGAGACCTAGGTTTGATTCCTGGGTCAGGAAGATCCCCTGGAGAAGGGAATGGCTACCAACTCCAGTATTCTTGCCTGTAGAACTCCATGGGCAGAGAGCTACAGTCCATGGGGTCACAAAGAGTCAGACAGAACTGAGCAACTAACACTTTAGGAGCCACCCAGCAGTTCCAATTTTAACAGAAGGATTTTAGACGGCCCCTTTTTTATGCTGAGCTTGAGCCTGAGATGAAGGCTGTGATCTGTCCTGTTGATTGTTGTCAAGGAAGGACTGATGGGAAGGAGGGACGGAAACTATACCAAGTATCATGCATGATACAGTCTTAATGAAACTATCTTAAGGGTCTTTGGTTTTAGCAGACTGGAGGGGATTTATAGTCTAAAACAGCAAATTCTAAAATACAAAGGCACAGTCAAAACACTTGAAGAACTTGAAATACTGACGTTTGGGCCCCCTTCCCAGAGATGCTGACTCAATTGGTGTGTTAGGTTCCTGGGGCTGTCGTAGCAAAGTTCCACAGACTGGATGTCTTAAACAACAAGGATTTATCGACTCACAGTTCTGCAGGCTAGAAGTCCAAGATGAAAGTGCTGGCAGCCTGGGTTTCTCCTGAGGCCTCTCTCCTGGACTCGCAAACGGCCGTCTGCTCCCTGCTTCTCCATGTGGTCATCCCTGTCTGTCCATGTCTGTGCCTTGATCTCCTCTTCCTATAATGACACCAGTTGTACTGGACAAGGACCCATCCTGGTGACCTCATTTTACCTTGGTCATGTTTTAAAGTCCCCATCCCACACGAGTTGCACTCTGAGGGACTGGGGTTTAGGACTTCAACATGTGAATCTGTGGGGCAGGCATCCCATAACAATCGGCCTGGGTGGAGCCGAGGCATCACTACTTCAAAGTCTCCCCTGGAGACTCCACTTGCAGCTGAGGTCGAGAATCACGGTTCCAGATGGGTCTGCCCTAGCATCCAGGAACAGCTGTTTGGAATATCATCCCTGGACAGTTGGGTTTTTTACATTGTGAAAGTGTTGGGAACTTGTGTGGGAAAGGCTGTCATAAGTAGAACCACAAAAAGAGCGTTGATATCAGACAAGGTGACCGTGGAGAGACTTTGTTAAGAGGTCTGTCACACCTTGGCAGGGGGGCGGGGGGTGGATGGGGCGGGGGGACCTCTGATTTCCCACCAGGGGTCCTGCAAGCAGGGTGCTCACTGCACTTGAGGAAAGCAGCCCCTGAGGACAGACAGCCTCTTTCACTCCACCACTGCTGTGTTTTCTGAGCTTTGTCATCTGCTGTTTGGTTTCCTGAATTGACCTAGCCCCTAGGAGGGGAGCGCCCTGTGTAAGCAGCTGGTCGCGGTTCTCGGGCCAGGAATTCAGTAGAGCCTTACATAACCCTGCAGTTGAGCTCTTGGAAAGAAACGCCTGTCTCATGCGAGCATGCTTAATGAGAGGTGAGCAATTAGCGGGAGGTCGGGGCTCCGTTCCCAGGCAGTTCCGGAGCGTGCAGTGCCTGGTGTGTGGGGGCCGAGAGTCGTGATGCGGGGCTCAGCCTGACTCAACTGCAGCTCACCCGGCTGACGACAGGCACACGCTGACGTCTCAATAGTTCATCCTGTGGCAAGGATTCTGTTTCTCTGTTGCTCTAGGCCTGCAAACTCAGTTTTGGCATTTTACAGGCTTGCTATTTTTTTTTTTTAAAGAGCATCTTTCTGTGACTCTGTCTTCCCTTCCTGTTCCTATCCGATGGTCGTCCTGGCCAGTCGTTCACAAGTATGAGGAGCTGTTCCTCCACTTTCGTGCCCACGCACATCAGGAGGCGCTCAAGTCCCTCCTGCCCTCCTCTGTCCTTAGTTTTCTCACTGAGGGGGACAAAGTCGACTGCTACCACCTCTTCCAGCTTGGGATTCATGTCAGACACCGGTAAGGGCTTCCCTCACTTTACTGCGTTGGATCCTCACATAGGACCGATGCACTCTCATCTCATGTTACAGGTGAGGGAATCCAGGCTTCGATGGAGAGCTGCCCAGGAATATGAGTGGTGATGGAGCTGGGTTCAAGTCTACGTCATCCTGACTCCAAATCCTATTTCTAGCCTTCGTGTGCATCCTGAGCCATGCTGACACATTGCTGGTGATCTCATCTAGCTACATGCTGTGTGCATACTAAGCCGCTTCAGTCATGTCTGACTCTTTGTGACCCCATGGACTGTAACCCATCAGGCTCCTCTCTCCAAGGGATTCTCCAGGCAAGAATACTGGAGTGGGTTGCCATGCCCTCCTCCAGGGGATCTTCCCCACCCAGGGATTGAACCTGCGTCTCTTACATCTCCTGCTTTGGCAGGCAGGTTTCTTTACCATGGGCGCCACCTGGGGAGCACCTCGTCTGGCCACATGGCTCTGAAATCCATCCATACCGTGGGTGACTCTCACTCCTACACCTCTAACCTAGACCCTCCCCTGAGCTCCAGGCTCGGGTATCTGATGGCCTCTCCACACCATCTCTGGATTCCTAGCACTCACCTCAAAGCTAGCCTGCCCCAAGCAGAGCCCCATATCACCCTCCCTTTTCCAAAGCGTGCTCCTGCTCGGCCTCCTCTCTCCATAGATGCATCTCCTTTCAGTGACTCAGGCCAGAATGCGGGTGTCACCCTGACGCCTCTGCTTCTCTCCCAGCCCACATGCGCGTCATCGGCAAATCCATCGGGACTAACAATATCCCGAATCCAGCTGCCTCTGCCCCCCTCCACCGTCCCCGCCCTCCCACTGTCTGTCCTTATCACCCACCTCAGAGTGAGTCAGCCTCTGTCACCCTTTGCTCAAATCCTTCGGTGCCTTCCTGTCCCATTCAGGTTGTCAGTTATTAAGTTGAAAGTAAAAGTGGAAAAGTAAGTAAAAAATGTTGCTGAGTCGTGTCTGACTCTGTGGGACTCTGTGGACTGTAGCCCACCCAGGCTCCTCTGTCCATGGATTTCTCCAGGCAAGAACACTGGAGTGGGTACCCATTCCCTTCCCTGGTGGCTTAGACGGTGAAGAATCTGCCTGCAATGCAGAAGACCAGGGTTTGGTCTCTGGGTCGGGAAGATCCCTTGGAGAAGGGAATGGCTACCCACTCCAGTATTCATGCCTGGAGAATCCACATGGACAGAGGAATCTGTCAGTTAACAAAGAGTCGGACGTGAATGAGCAACTAACACTAACAGTTATTAAGTTACTGCCCCTCAGCCCTGAACCCATCCTTCTGCACTTGACTTCATGTTGCCAAGGCTGGTCAGCTGGCTCCCTGTCGGGCTAGGTCAGCAGGAGGTGCTCGAGGGAGACGGCGCCCGGGAGGAGGGAGAAGGGACTCGCTCCCTCCTGTTGGGCTCTCTGTAGGTTTCTGGTTGGCTTGCGTCTCCTGTGAGCAGTACCCCAGCCCGGCTGCCTCAGCCTGGCAGAGGCAGTTCCTTCCTGTAGCAACAGTTGAGTCCACTTTGCACTCGTCTCGCCCTCAGGAACCGACCTGGCTCTGCCTCCTCCGGGACATCAGAGCCAGTGGCCACGGCCCCGCTGCAGGGGCCTGGAGCTTCCAGGTTTTGATAGCTCACCTTCACTTGCCCAGCCCTGGGGGTGGAGACATCATCCTGGACTTGCTGTCCTTTCCCCTTTCAGTTACCTGGTAACTGACTCTACCTCTAATTAATATTTGCTAAAATAACCGGTGTGATATGTGAAACAGACCGCCAGTCCAGGTTGGATGCATGAGACAGGGCGCTCAGGGCTGGTGCACTGCGATGACCCAGAGGGATGGGATGGGGCGGGAGGTGGGAGCGGGGTTCAGGATGGGGGACACATGTACACCCATGGCTGACTCATGTCAATGTATGGCGAAAACCACCACAGTATTGTAAAGTAATTAGCCTCCAACTAAAATAAATAAATAGGCAAACCAGTATGGCTTCTGTCTCCCAGCTAGGCCCCGACTGATATGCTGAGTCCAAGCTCAAGTCCTGAACCTGGCTGCTGAGGGGCTCGGTGAGCTGGCTCCTGCCCACTCCCGTCTCCTCTCCTTCCACTGCTGGCCTGTTTCATTCTCTGGCCCCTGTGGCCCATGCTCTTCTGCAAACACACCAACCCTTCTGTAGCCTCAGGGTCGCTTTGCCTAAAAAAACCTCTCCCTGTGATTCTGCATGGCTTCTTCATCTCCGCCCACCCCCAGAGTCTCTGTGAAATGTCACCTCCTCAGTGAGACCTGCCCTGACTACCCCACATGGGCCACAGATGCCCACCCCTGGGGAATCCCCATCTTTCTTCATCTGCCTTGTTCCCCACAAAGCACCAGTTGATATGAATAGTGTCTATATTGACTTGTTTGTCAATTGCCTCTCTCCTCTTGACTAGAATATAGGATCCAGGAAGGCACAGACTTTTCCTTCTTTAGTGACTGCATATCCCAGACTTCAGAGCACAGGCCTTACACAGAGTAAATGCTTGATAAATATTGGTCCAGTGGATGAGCGATTGGAGTTCTAGAATCTCAGGACTTAGACAAAGGTGCCCCAGGCACAGGTGACTCCACCCTCATGCCTCGGGGAGGATCATAAAGAGGATGCTGACATCATAGGAAAAGGAATAAGTGCTTTCTCCATTGCTGTGTGTGTGTGTGTGTGTGAGGGGGAGGGAGCGGAACTAGCAGTGTCTGTAGCCCCACTATGCATGGGCTTGGGTGTATGTACTTGTGAAGAGTAAGTTATATTTCTTCTCTCTTTTCTACCAATTGCCATTGCTTGACGTGGAAAAAAGAAAACGAAAAACAACGAACAAAATGTGAGTTATGGTATCTCATTACCTGCGGTCTGCTGAGTCTATGGTATCTCCCCTCTACGTTCCCTCTCCACTCTGGCTTTTGAACTAATAGATGTCGAGGGGCTGCCTTCCTAGAATACCATCCTGATAATTCTGTGGAACATTCTAAGTGGTTTCCAGCTCCCATGGACTTTAATTCATAACAGAAGAGCCTGAGAATGTTGGCTGTTGGCCTCTTATCATCTGTGTGCAGAATTGTCTCCTCAAGGCTGGGTCTGCTGAGGGGCTTGCTGCACTTCTCTCCTAAGGTGAGGCCTAGTTCTTAGTGGGGAGCTTGGGGAGCTACAGGCCCTGGGGTCACAAAGAGTTGGACACAACTGAGTGATTAACACTTTGGCTTTCACTTTGCTTCTTAATTCAAGAGGGCAAAGCATCACTACGAACAAAGCTAGTGGAGGTGATGGAATTCCAGTTGAGCTATTTCAAATCCTGAAAGATGATGCTGTGAAAGTGCTGCACTCAATATGCCAGCAAATTTGGAAAACTCAGCAGTGGCCACAGGACTGGAAAAGGTCAGTTTTCATTCCAATCCCAAGGAAAGACAATCCCAAAGAATGCTCAGACTACCACACAATTGCACTCATTTCACACGCTAGTAACGTAATGCTCAAAATTCTCCAAGCCAGGCTTCAGCAATACGTGAACTGTGAACTTCCAGATGTTCAAGCTGGTTTTAGAAAAGGCAGAGGAACCAGAGATCAAATTGCCAACATCTGCTAGATCATCGAAAAAGCCAGAGAGTTCCAGAAAAACATCTACTTCTGCTTTATTGACTATGCCAAAGTCTTTGTGTGAATCACAATAAACTGTGGAAAATTTTGAAAGAGATGGGAATACCAGACCACCTGACCTGCCTCCTGAGAAACCTGTATGCAGGTCAGGAAGCAACAGTTAGAACTGGACATGGAAAAACAGACTGGTTTCAAATAGGAAAAGGAGTACGTCAAGGCTGTATATTGTCACCCTGCTTATTTAACTTATATGCAGAGTACATCATGAGAAACGCTGGGCTGGAAGAAGCACAAGCTGAAATCAAGATTGCCAGGAGAAATATCAATAACCTCAGATATGCAGATGAAACCACACTTATGACAGAAAGTGAAGAGGAACTAAAGAGCCTCTTGATGAAAGTGAAAGAGAAGAGTGAAAAAGTTGGCTTAAAACTCAACATTCAGAAAACTAAAATCATGGCATCTAGTCCCATCACTTCATGGGAAATAGATGGGGAAACAGTGGAAACAGTGTCGGACTTTATTTTGGGGGCTCCAAAATCACTGCAGGTGGTGATTGCAGCCATGAAATTAAAAGACGCTTACTCCTTGGAGGGAAAGTTATGACCAACCTAGATAGCATATTAAAAAGCAGAGACATCACTTTGCCAACAAAGGTCCATCTGGTCAAGGCTATGGCTTTTCCAGTGGTCATATATGGATGTGAGAGTTGGACTGTGAAGAAGGCTGAGCACCGAAGAATTGATGCTTTTGAACTGTGGTGTTGGAGAAGACTCTTGAGAGTCCCGTGGACTGCAAGAAGATCCAACCAGTCCATCTTTAGGACTCGAGATCAGTCCTGAGTGTTCATTGGAAGGACTGATGCTGAAGCTGAAACTCCAATACTTTGGCCACCTCATGCGAAGAGTTGACTCATTGGAAAAGACCCTGATGCTGGGAGGGATTGAGGGCAGGAGGAGAAGGGGACAACACAGGATGAGATGGCTGGATGGCATCACCAGCTTGATGGACATGAGTTTGAGTAAGCTCTGGGAGTTGGTGATGGAGAGGGAGGCCTGGTGTGCTGCAATTCATGGGGTCACAAAGAGTCAGACACTACTGAGTGACTGAACTGAACTGAACAACATTTTCAGGCCAGGAAGAGGCAAGAGAATTTCTTCACATTAGCAATTAGTGGAGACCCACCTTCCCAGGGTGCAAGGCTGAATCAACCCGAAATCTAGCACATTACAGGGTACACCCTGCCCTGCCGGATTGTGGGGAAACTCCCTGGGTCACAGTGGCACATTACAGTTCTCACTGCCACGGTTCATCTGTCCAGTCTTGTTTGCCTTGGATTTCAGCCACCCAGGCTTCAGAAGGTGCTGAGCTGGCCACTGATCTTGGCCCCAGAACACAGGCTGTGGTTCGTGCCATGTTGAACGCTAGTGGCAATTATGGTTGCTGATTGAAAAGGAAACTGAACACACTGGCTTTCATCAGGTCAGCTTTGCTTGGCTACATGCAACTTTCCACTTGGGCAGATGAGGGCTAAATTCTTGATTCAGACAGACTCTTTCAAGGTGTTGTATTTTGGGGCTCAAATAACTAAGCAAGACAACCCTGTGAACCTGGGTGCTGTCTATAGTGTCACTAAACTTGGTGCCCTGTGAAAGGACAGCATTAAGCACATAAAACTTCCAACTTCAAGGGCTAAGATTTTGCTCAGTTTTGGCTTCGGATTTTGCTTAGTTTAGAGCTGTTGTTGTTCAGTTGCTAAGTTGTGTCCAATTCTTTGCTACCCCATGGACTGCAGCACACCAGGCTTCCCTGTCCTCCACTATCTCCTGGAGTTTGCTCAAACTCATGTCCACTGAGTCAATAATGCCATCCAACCATCACATCCTCTGTCACCCACTTCTCCTCCTGTCCTCAATCTTTCCCAGCATTAAGGTCTTTTCCAATGAAAAGTAGTTTAGAGCTACTGCAGCCTTAGTTTACTGTGCCATATTTGAAACAAGAAATGTGAGCTACATTTTAATTTTTGAAATATAGAATGTATGTGGGTAGGAAGATATTGATAAGTACCCTCAGAGTATGTAGCACTGTGCTGGATATTCATGGGAAATCTGAAACCAAAGACTTGGTTACTGTCCTCAGGAAGCTCCCAACCTATTTAGGGAAATAGAAACTACACTCGCATAGACATGGGCTTCCCTTGTGGCTTAGCTGGTAAAGAATCCACCTGCAAGGTGGGAGACCCCAGTTTGATTCCTGGGTCAGGAAGATCCGCTGGAGGAGGGATAGGCTCCCCACTCCAGTATTCTTGGGCTTCCCTTGTGGCTCAGCTGGTAAAGAATCCACCTGCAATGCGAGAGACCTGGGTTTGATCCCTGGGGTGGGAAGATTGCCTGGAGAAGGGAAAGGCTATCCACTCCAGTATTCTGGCCTGGAGAATTCCATGGACTGTATAGTCCATGGGATGGCAAAGAGTCAGATACAACTGAGTAACTTTCGTTTTCATTTTTCATAGACACAGTAAAGCAAGACTATTCATAAGCATTACAATGTGTGTAGTCAGGAGTGGTATAGGAATTCGGAGAATAAGTAGATAACCATGGACCTGTGTTTGCTGAAAAAAACTTCAGTGGAATTTAAAGTGGCCTGAGAAAAGAGTGTGGGTTTAGATTGATAAGAAAAGGAGAGGACCCTCAGGCCAGGTCGTCTGAGCAGGGGCGGGGTGGCACGAACGTGTGCAGCACACACGGTGTTTCACAAGTGGATGAGCTCTCTCCGGGGTTGTCATTAGAGAGGGAGGTGAGCAGATGGGAAAGGACGGAGCGTTGGAGGACACCCAATCCAGTGGGGTGGACAGGATATGTGCACACAGAAAGATGAGTCAGGCTGTTGCTTGTGCAATTAAAATATTAAAAGATGATTCAAAGGCAGAAAGATAAGTAGTACTTGGCAACTCTACCTCACAAGTCAGATAAGAGGTACAACCAAGACGTGCTTCAAGACTTTAGGGGAGGGTAGATAGAGGAGTGTTGAAGGGCCGTGGCCTTAGGAGAGGGAAGAGGAGGGGAAGCAGGCAGAAGAAAGGGTTTCTGGCAGGTGAAGCGGAGCTCAAGGGCAAGGCTGACTTTCGGAGATATCCGACTCTTGGTGAAGAAGGAGATGGGCATTTGGCTGGGATGTGGGTCCTAAGGCCTGCAGATGAAAAGGTCTGTAGTAGTTATATTGAGAAAAGGAGCCAGTGGGGGGATGAGGGGCAAATAGCAGGATTACTAAGCATGTGCCAAGGTCAAACTGTGTGGAGCCCGTTTTTAGCCTGGAGTGGGCCAAGTCAGGGGTTATGGGCCCTTCCCCAGTTGTGTTGTTTGATTCAGGAGGTCAGGATTGGGAGTTGGTGGGGCTGCCTTGAAGGGAGGGCTGAGAGGGTGAAGTCTCGGGTGCTGACGAAGGTGGCAGTTTCACAGCTAAGCACAGGGTTCCACGGGCTCAGGCGGGTGGATTCCGAGGGACAGAGGGCCTGCGGGTTAGGAGAGCAGGGACGTAGAGGCAATCTTGTACTGATGCGGTCCTGGGGAGACCTTGTTGGCTCACAAGCAGTGAACTGAGCGGAAGAAGTGTAAGGGAAGCTGGAAGGAAGTTATTTAGGAAGAAAGCAGAGCACCCAGTGTTTGATATTCCTCTGTATGAAGGAAGTTAGGTTGAGTTGTCAACAGTAGCATGAATAACATCATGATGATGAGACAACTGACTTAGAATATCTTGGATCAAACCATTCTCTAAATTTCTTTACTTTTTTTTCTAGCCAAACTTATTTAACACTCGTAGCTTAATATTTCTGTTAGATTTTAGAGATTGGAAGAGCAGAGTCAACTTAGTTTGAAAACTCAGCTCCATCATTTTCTAACTGTGAGATTTGGGGCAACTTAACCTACCTTTCTGCTCTTGATTTTCTCATCTCTAAAATGGGAATGACAGTATGTTTCCTTGGGGCTGTTGTGCATGCATAAACATTAGGTTTCAACAAGTGGGGACCCTTGTTATTTTAAAATCAGAATTTCAGAAGCATTTGTGTGTTTCAGTGCAAGTTACTGTTCAGCCCTGGCAACTCCCTCCTGCCTCTGTTCTTCCACACACCTTGCTCACTTGTAAACATGTCTACTTAGATTTGTGATTTGGAATGTAGAGTGCTGAGCCCAGGTAAGTCAGCCAGTGTTTTTTTTTTTTTTGACATGTGACAAATTATGCCACGTTTAAGCACAGTAAGGGAGGACAAGGGAATTAACCTGTGAGGAGGAGCTGTTTGGCGAGTCCCAGCAGTCTGCACAGGCCATTTGGGATCTTTCTCTCACACAGACGTGGATGACGCTCTCCTCCCACAGTGACTGAGTCAGGGGTCACTGTTTGCTGAGTCACGTGGCTCTTTGCTGGGAGGGACGTGGGCAGCACTGACAGTGAATGACGTCAGTGCCGTGGGAATCATCGGAGGTACTCATGAGCCCAGCACGTGGGTCAGAACCACGCAG